GCAATCGACCAATTGCGCCAAGCTCATCATTGCCTGAGTGTTTTTCCATTTATTGGGAAACTTGTTCAACTAGTGTCGATAATAATCCACCTGAGTTCGAGACTTTTCTGCTTTTGCTTCCTCTTTATATCTTTACTAGTTAATTTATCTCTAATAAATTCCTCATTTTTTTTATCTTAAGATTTTTATGAAAATAAAAAATTTCTTGTATAGTTATTTGGATACATATGTATATATTTTAGTATTTTAATTAATCATTCCTAAGATATTCCATATAAATATTAAATCTTCAATATGATGTATTTACAAGAAAGTGAAAGTAAACACTCGAGTACCAGACTTAAATGAAAAAAATTGAATTTCCTGATACGCGACATCAAGATTTATGTCTATCGACTTCTAGTTGAGTAATTGCGGTAATTATTGCGAGAAAAAACGGAATAATATAAACAAATCCATAAATATCTTTAGTTCTCAGTGTTTTACAAAAAAAAAAAAGAAAAATCTAGAAACATATATGTACATATGTATGCAGCTCTTGAGATTACAATAAAAAAGAATCGATTTAATTTTGAGCAATGATAATTAAACTATTTTTTTGAATAACAATTAAACTAATTAAAATGATAATCAAACAATAATTAAATTTCAGTTTTATAAGATAATTAAAGTGCTCTTTACAGTGCTGCATACATGAAAGAAAATACATTGACTTTGTCTTTGTTTTTTCAAAAAGATATATTTGTAATGAATGTACATAAAAATACATACATATCCGTTACAAAGTACGATACTTTTTATAAATATAAAATACTTTTATCTTTGAGAAAAATTTCTCATTTGAATAGATAAAGACACGACGTGTTCTTTCCGATCATATGTTTTCTTTAGAATTATGCAAGTAACATAGAAGGACGTCGCGGATCGTTGCAGAATACGAAAGATTGTGCAACATGAATTAATCTGAACGTGGTGTCTGAATATTAATCCGGCATGATCTTGTATTATTTTCTCGTTTGGTGCTGAAAGTGTCGCAACGAAAAGTCAGATAAGAATTTTCTGTCCATCATTTATCTTTTTCGTACGTTTTTCACGATTCACTCGATAGATAAGTACAAAATCAATGAGAAAATCCATCACATATCTCATTCTTCTCATTTTTATTTTATCTTTGTTTATTGTCGATTTCATTCTTATAAATTCATAATTTTTGAAGTGTTTGCAAAAGAAAATTATACACAGTAATTTTGATCTTGTTAAAGTTGAGTGGTTCCTCTTTTAATTTTACTAAAATTTAATCTCCGTATCTAAAGCAGATGATTGTTTTGTAGATTAAATTTTTAAGTGCATGCAAAAGAAGATCATCAGTGATTTTGATCTCGGTGAGTAGTGAGTATTTCTTTCAATTTTACTAAAAATTAGAAGATTAAGGGAAATGGTCATTAAATTTTTAAATATTTCCTAAAGAAGATACAGTTATTTCGATAAACATATCCCTTATTTATAGTAGTGACACATTTATAATTTTGAAAATGATTGTTTTCTTGATTCTTTCGCAAACACTTAAAAATCTAATCTTAAAAATGATCATCATCTTTAAATAAGGAGATTTTCAATTAATCAATTATTAGTACATGAACATTAAATGAAGAATCACTATTCACCAAGATCAAAATCATCGATCTTCTTTTATAAACACGTCAGAAACTTCGAAGGTGAGATACTCGTACAATTCCATGATGATCAAATTTATGTAAAAAATACGTAAACCATTTCCGATTATCGTGACTTATCAGTAATCGTCGATAAGAGTGCATCGATAAACGTAGCAGCCTGTGTCAGTGGAAACTTTAATAATTACTAAAGAAATTCATAATATGCGCAAAGCTAAATCTTCCATAGAAAATTCAATTAAAAAAAATCCAATTTAAATTCCAACGGAATGTCATATCGATCTGAATCATCCTCAGTTCCATCGGATCGCCGAGGATGAACGGGAAAACGGAAAATCGACGATAGATCGATCGATTTCCTTAGCTTGTCTAGCATCTAGCACGACTCTCCGCGTGAAAATCAGCGAAATTAAATAAAACAAGACACAAAAGACGCGAGAGGCACATGACTGAAGCTTGATACGGGGAAACTCGTGACTCGATAAACCACCGAGAATAATTTAATCGGCCACAATAACCGGCAAACGTGTTCAGTCCTTCGTCGACATGTCCAGGAACAGGAATTACGAGACATTTACCGAGGAGTGTTCGTTTCTCAGCGAGTAAGTACTCTTAGAGAATGTTCTTTTCATCGGTGCGTTTTCGAAAGGTAAAGAAATTGGATAAATTCGAGGTCGACCACATGTATGTATGTACAGTTCGGTCAATGATATATGTAAGTAATTGGTTCGTTTGGCTATTTTCCGTGCTCGTTAGGTGAGTCGATCAATAACGTACCATTAGTTCAGGACTCGTCTAATCATAGTTTGAAAAGAACATGGTTGAAACGTTTAACGATCGGTGGTGGATATGTTTTCAAGTAAAATTGAAACAATTGCAAATTATTACTTTCTTCGTGTGCACTCATTTTAATCACAAACGGGAAAATTTAAATTAATTTGTGCAATTGGTGAAATTTCGTGGATGGTTAATATTTTATGGTTCGATTATCTTCGTTCTTTTGGCGACTATCTTTGTTTATGCTTTACGTAATGATTTAGATGATTGATTTTTCTAGTGAATTAGAAGTTGAAAAGAAAAATAAATATCATCCTTGTGTCTCTCAAGAGGAAATTGAGGCAGTTTCCTTATCAATTGCAAATTTATGGAAAAATTGAAAATGCAAAAATGCACACAATACTAATTGCGAAAAACTATGTAATATCTATTCAAAGTGCAATGTCTCTTTTAATAATTAATAACTAGATTTTTGAATTATCTTTAGAAAAACACGAAGTTGCATACAAATTTGTAGTCTGCTTATCAGACACTTTGATAAAACCGTAACTTAAAGAAATTACTCAAAGAATATAAAAGAAGACAAACGCTGAGTTACAATGCATAATTAGAATGTATAGTAGACGCGCATAATAGGCAATGCATTTTTATTTATTTTTAAATTTTTGTGAACATATCTAAAGAAATAGAATCTAAATAGAAATTTGTTTTTAACTATTATATATTGTAATGAACATTCTATTTTATATGTTTTATATATTTTTGATTATTATATATATTCTATGCATTTTTGCATCTTCCGTATTCTTTACATTCTCCATAAAAATCTGTAATTATTTTCGAGAAGAAGTAAAATACAGTGGAGTCTCATATATTCAAACTGATAGAAAGATAAAACTGAGTTAATTTCTGAAAAACAAAACAATAACTTTATTGTTATAATTAAATTAAAAATTAAGAAAATTGTCAATCTGTTTTAACTACTGATTACCTAACTTTTATCTAATTATTACAAATAATTGTAAAGTCTTTTTGTATTTTAACTCTCTGAAATAATTTTCTGGATGTTTTGAATGTTTCGAAAACATATTCTCGTTGTTTTTATTTGCTGTTTCAGTTTATGAAAAAATCATGTCTGCGACATTTCTGTCACTCACGTTAATTTATGGTGGAATTAAACATGACCTGTTATATATCTTTCAATATTGTTCCTTTCAGTAAAATTTGCTAATCACATTTTAATGAGTGCGTTTTGCAATTATAAAAGATACAGCAAACATACAAGAATAACGTATAAAATAATTTAATGTAAGAAAAGATATCTATTACTAATGTTCAAATAATAGAAGATTGGATATTAGAGTAGAGAGAACCCATATACTTGAATAATGAGAGTTCGGATATAGAGGACTCTACTATATATAAAATTCGAACTATTTATTTCATGGTGAAAACATCATCGTTAGCGATAAATGTATTTGCATAAAACCGATTATTCGGCGTAATTATCTCTATGTTTGACTAGATTTTATTGTTTTATTGTTTGTCTTATTCATATGATTCGTCATTGTATGCAAGTAAGCCAATAACATAAATCTGAACATGACATAAACTTAAACTACAAAGAAAATCCATTTTATTATATTCGTATCTTCTTCAATTTTATATCTAGAAATTTTCTGTTTTGTGAGTATTTTTTTGTTTGTTTGTAATAGCATATCATGTTTATTTTTATTATATGTTTGGTAGCTAAATATTGTTTCTCGAGCTCGTATTGGACAATTTTATCTGTTGATAACAGTAATTTTATGAAAACGTGTCAAAAAAGAATTTTTGCTTATCCGTTATCTCATCTTGCACATTTTAGCTTCATGTGAAGGAGACATCAATATCGTAATTCACGAATAACAATCGTGACAAGTTCAGTCACGAGTTGTAGCTGCGTCAAACGATATAGTTCTATTTTTCTCAGATAAACAAATGATCAAATCCTCGTGATTGTTCTTATCGATTCGAATGTAGATTGCAAGCATGTACTTCCGATTTAAAAAAAAATCAAATGTATGTATGTATGTAAGTAGTTTTTCATTTTCATTTCACTTCATATTAGTTTTAACGGAAGAAACTTGAAAATACAATCAAAATAACATTAATAGAATCAACATCCCTCCAAGTATTTTTTTTTTGACAATCTTTCATCAAGTATATCTTCCCTTTTAACATACTCTTTATAGCGCTTGACATATTTGTTAAATTTTCCAGAATATTCTTTTTTTTTCAAAACATGTAACACAGTCTTTAATCTCATTTAATAGCTTTTAATTGACAGATAAATAAAGTTGCTTCTTTCTCGTAGCGAATTCTTTTCGTTTACGAGATAAATTGGATCGTGTTTCATTTTTTCGAGAAATTTTTGCGGAACGCGCGCCGATTCGGAGAACGCATGCGCACGCGGACGAAATTCGCGCGTTTCTCTACTGCGCAAGTCAGCGGGGATTCAACCAATCGAAAGGTCGATCGCTCGTGCTTATATAAAGCTTTGCCGGCAGTTGCGAGTACATTCGCTTCACGCGCATCGTCTCAGAAGGGATGATCGAAAACAATTTCTTTTTCATTGTTCCGGTCTTTGTGCAAGTGTTATTGTATTTTTGTACGTAGTGACTTCGTTAACAAAATTTCTCGTCAACAAGAAGAGATCAACATCGGCGAGGAAGGAGGAACAGAAACGACCAAAACAGTCAGTGTAGATATATTGTCCATGGAAAAAAATACAAGTGGAATTCTACGAGATAGGGCGTATAATTGGCGTATTAAGAATTTCCTGAGAGAACGAAAACTGTTTCGAATAACGCTACGTAATTTCGTGAGATTTCGTTGAGTGGTTTTGAGAAGTAGGAAGAAAAACGGAGAAGAAAAGAAGGGACAAAAGAAAAGAGCAAGAAAATAAAGAGAGAAAGAAGGAGAAGAAAGAGAAAGAGGTTCGCACGTGAAGAAAGAGAAGAAAGAGAAGAAAGAGAATGATGTGCGAATTTCTTCTTGTAACACACAGCATTGTGATTAATAGACTGTGATATATATTGTACATATTTTATTTTAGTTTTAAAATCGTTACGTTTTGGAAAATAAACGGCAACAGGAGATCGACATGACGAACACAATGGCAGAGTAAGTCTATATACATATACAAATACATATAAATACGTGTGCACGTGTTCGTGCCATATTTATTTTCAATCTTCTATTTGCACGATGTGTTCTGGTCTTACAATCACACGAAATAATATACGAAAATTAAATGATTTGTTCGACCAGGTACAATCGTAAATATATACAAATCATACCATACGTAATAATTATAAACATGTATGTTAAACGTTAATATATAGAAAACATTAATATATTTAGATAAATATTTATTATAATAAATATATATCTTCTTCTTGTTTTTGTGTACTTTAAATAACTATAACTGTCCTTCTTACTATCAATTTTCATTTTATGTTTTATTTCATTTTATTAGATTGAATAAAATATGAATTTTGGAGTTTTTATTTTATTGTTCGTTAATTCATTACATATATTAATGGGACTTTAATACTCGTTAATATGTGTATAATTATTATTCATATTATTATACTAATATTTTACTAAATGTATTTATTTGCAATAAATATCTTGTGACTTCTATATCATTTTCAGATCGATTCTAAATTTCACCTATACAATCGTGATGCTCATGTCTCAATACAATGTTAATAAAATCAAAAGTTTCAGAATATTGTAAAATATAAATTACACGCGCAATATGCACATAAAATAAATGTTCCTTTATTCTAAATGTATGAATACTTTCATAAGACGCAGTAGCTAAAATTTATTTCAAACTCGCCTAAACTATCATAATTGTCAAGTCTTACGCGATATTCGTTTTTCTCTTCAATGATACAATATAATTTCTGCACATTCTTTTTCCGGTTCTCATAACAGCATAACAGCATTGTTATTCATAACAATAATTTATCGAACATTATCGACCGCTGTTCCCATTGGTGATTCTAGAAAATTAACTGAATTAACGACTTCTTCGTAACAGATAAGCACTAATCATCGCGTGAGTGAATTAAAGCGCACTTTTTTAATCGTCAAGATCAATCACCAAATTGCAACATTGAAGGATGAATATCGTTCCTTGTGTAACAGAACGCTATCACGCGAGTTGCTTTGAGGTACATGTGGTAAACGTCCATTTTCGGCTGTATTAATTAGCCACGCTTAATGATTTTCCGTTTGAAGGACCCTCCTGCTGCACGTACTGCGAACAGATAACAATTGCCTATTTACCGCGATTTAATCTAATTGCTCTATTACTATGCGCACTCAAGTAGTGTCATTGATGAATGGTCGGATGATAATTAAAGCTTGATATTTCGTGCACACCATGCACGTATTACTATTCAAATTTATTTATTTTATTTCATTATTATATTCATTTTTCTATGAAACATATTTTTTTGTACATGGTACAATTGTTTGATTTTTTTAATAGAATTTTATACTTTAATCATTTAATCATTTAAAGTCTATCCCTTGATATTACATTTATAACGTTGTACAAACGTTAGTAACATTACTTAACGAGATTTTATATGTGTAATTTTTTACAATAGAAGTTTTTTTTTCGAAAGATAATATTTCATATTTAAGAAAAAATAAACTGAAAGAAGATGTTTCTTTTTGACAGTTTCCTAAAAATTCACTGAGTCTGTAAGGAGCTAAATTAAATAAGAGAGGAGTCCTGCTGGTATTTGTTATAAGTCATATTTATTCTTTATTGTGTTTCTTTATTCGAGTTTATATTTAGAAATGCTCTAGAAATTGCTAGAAACGTACATTTAGTATTTGGAGAAGATTGAAGATATCTTCCATTTTATCTAAATAATTTTGTAATACATAGATTAATTAAAATTAATTAATATTCATTTTGAGTTATAGGAGAACAGCAGGATTAAAATTAATTTATTCGATTTATTTCGTGTGACGTTCTTCTGTATAAATAAGGCTTACATTAATTTTCAATATTTCCTGGAAATTTTGTTTTTACCGATTAAACCTTATATATATCGTCCAGTAGAGAGTTTTGAGAAAAGAACAATAACAATTCAACAGGTTGATTGATAGGTTTTGATTGTCAAAGTGGACTTAAGGTTCGAATCTTGTGTTTTTTTCATATTTTCGCTGATTCATCATCATGGTTATTTATTAGTGTTTATCGTGGATAATTATATGTATCAACAAAATTAGAAAAATGAATGATTTTTTATTTAAATAATATGAGAATCATTAATTCAAATAACATCATAAATAATTTTTGATTTCTATCTTTTTGAAAGCTATTGTTATTTCTTACTTTGATTAAATAAGACAGAAATAATAAATAATTTTTAATTTTCTCTTATCCGTTGTATTTTAGCTAATGAAACAGTTCTTGAATATTAATTTTCTTTTTCTGCAAATAGTTCGTGGTTCATTTGCTTTTAATACCACTCTACTTTCAAATAAGTTGTCTGACAGTCTATTCAGTTCATTGTGTAGGCATCATTCAACATTCATGTTGAATGATGTTTGCTTTTGAACATTCCGAAATCGCGGTAATAATTATTTCAATTGTTATATTTAATGCCTTGCATAAATAATAATTAAAGTCGTATTCGTAAACAACAATTGATTTTATTACTTTGGTGAATTTATATAAATCAATACAAATAAGAAATAATCCTTAATAAATAAATTCAATAATAATAATAATAATAATTTCATAGTTGAACTTTGAAATAAGAAATAGCTCTATATTTAAATAAAAATCTACTTAAATTATGCTCCACACTGCGTAACATCTTTCATGTGATCATCCACGTGACAGAGTAAGCAGTGCAATCTCGTTTACACTACTAAATGTTGTAAATGAAAGGCAATCGTCGATTATCGCAATCGTATGCAACAGGTGTCCGACCAATTTAGTTTTGCAAATTTAATTCTTGCTGTTCGATTTTTCATGGCATCGATCTCTATTGTTTTTCGTTGTCAAACATATGATGTAATTGATCTATTAATGCACACCGACCAGAAGCGTTTGTGTATCGTGTTTTCACACTGTACACTTGAACCCTTTCTTGTAACGTACAGATAAAAATAATTCGGCCCGTTGTGTGCCAAAATTCATGAATCTCTCCTGGTTAACTATGTATATCGGAGAGACAGCGAGGACAATACGAAGAGAGCAGTTTAATTTTGTCGTGTAAATTTAATGCTTACCTTCGAAAGCTTCCATAAACAAATACCTACTGTATTTGATTTTCTTCTTTTTTTTTTCATGAAAAATATGTAGGTCGACTGCGAATAAACATCATCAAGGCCAGGTTTGAACGATCGTCCATGGGTTTACACGCTCTTTTTGGTTATGCTTCTTTTAGTAGTCTTTCCTCGCGTATGGGTTATTGTCTGATGGAGGAGAATCGGAATATAAACAAAACGGGTTAAGGATATTCAATCACGAGTTTCTTCAATTGTTTAATCAATCTGGATATTTGTTCCAGATTGTTCTTTTGTGCAAGATATGAAATTTCATCATGATACAAATATCTGTACTTATAATCAAGTACCTTATAATAATATAATATTTATATAAGAGTAAATCTTAGTTTGGATACAGTCTATGTATTCTACACGTATTGTATATATTCTATATATTTTATATTATATATACATTTTTTATATACTCCGTTTCACAGTCATTCCTTCGATAGTGATCGTTGTTTCCGTATAAGAATAAACACAATGTTTGAATCGGCGTTATAAACGTGCGTGCTGAAATGAAGTTGTAATTATGCACGAGTAGATCGTAAACGTGTTGCATCCAGCTGTGTTTTATTAATAACGAATCTGCATGTGAAAGCAGTGATATTTATCATTACTACAATATGCACCCATACTTATCGTTGTACCATTCGCTACCATTCGCGCTACACTAAACCAGTCGGCGCTTGTTTTCCACAGATATATAAATGTGAAAAATCTTTCAAATCATTAACATTATAAAAAATGGAAAAAAAAACATAAAACGTATCGTTAGGCGACCATTTTTACTAGCGATATCATTTCTTCGTTGTATTGGAAGTCGCATAGAGTGTAGAGTGATATTCTACGTTCGCTTATCATATAAATTTTCTTTGAATAATAGTTTTCTAGTTCGTTTTGGGTATTTTAACGTGGTATAATGAAATATTTATGCATTTGGCAAGGATATTTTTCCACAATGCAAAATTAATTTGCAATATGATTGGCTAATTGAATAATATATTAATTATTAAATATAATATATTATATTATGCTGTATCTATGCATAATCTACGAACAGATTATATGAATATACTACCATATAACTATACTATTACTAACAGCAGTATAAGTGATAAAAGCCACAATGATAAGAATATTTTTAATTTTGAAGTAAAATCTTCAATTTCTGAAGTGAACATTGATGAAAATACAAAGTAGTGGATCAAAGGAAGTTTAAAATGAAATATTTAATAATTTAATAATTCAAAATATTTGTCTATAATATTATGATATATTACGATTTTTTAATTTTACAATATTACATTATATATATCATTATTAACTATTAATATTAATTATTAATTAGATATTTTTTAATCAATTTTTTCTATTCATTATTCTTGTCCATTTTATTAAATTTCGAATAAATCTCATTCTGTTTGTTTTTCTATTAATATATTTTATTTTTATAAGTGTTTTTAGTTTCGAAGTTTTCTTATCAGTACTTCGCGTGACTCCTATCTACTTTGAACAATCGTCTATGCTCTCCGATATTTTAGAAATTGTCAAACAAAGAAGATACATTTGTGCCAGCGCGTGCCACTCTTGACAACACACGCGTTACAAAGTTCTCTTTGTTAATTCTGTCATTCTCTCGATTTAATGGCCGTAATTACATTGACCTACTCCTTTAAGTTCGTTTACAGATCATTGACAATTTTCATATTATTTTTGGTATCACTGGAAGGTCATATTTTACCATTATAATAATTACTCAGATAAATACTTAGGCCAATTATTTAGAGTCGAGTATTTTCTTTATAATAACTGTTATTTGTTATTCTGTTTTTATTATTTCCAATATTCAATGAGCCTCTCAAAAGGTAAACTGATCGGATCTATTTTTATTTAATACATTAATATTAATATTCAATTAATAATAATAATAATAATTCAATATATTAATATTAATTTTCAAATAAGAAAATTAAGACTTACTTTTGTAAGCTTGTTTATTGTAAAAAAATAATATAAACATTGGTAAATTCTAAAATAAAATCAAATAGCTTATAAATATTTAATTAAATAACTAATAAAAAATCTAAATTCAAATAAAATCACATCCTGTGCTTTTTAATTTATGGAGTTGATCACTGTAGCTTTTAGTAATGTAAAAGTAAAAAATAGATAATACAAAAATTGTAAGATATTAGCCATGTACATATTAGTTATTAGCTATAATTCTGTTAACAAGCAGTAATTTATTAAATTACGTCTTTTGTTGAATTACGTGTTGTTTGTAGAAATAATTTATAAATCGATTTCGAACTGCATGTGAGATTTGGGTCGAATTTTATTTCGGTAGCATAAAATCAGTGCCAAATTTTCGAGTTATCTCCGAGCGTTAACTATTCACCATGTGTACATTTTATATGCGATAACGAGGATTCATTAATACAGAAAAGATTAACTCTCAATGAGTATCTGTACATCTTTTATATATATATTTTTTTGTTTGTTAAGTAATTTTCAAGTAAACATTGTAGCCTCACATATGATACTTTATCTATATCGAGTAAAAATAATTATCTCTCAGCCAGTAGATAAATAACTAGACTGATATAAGTATTATATACAGAAAAATACAAACTACATGTTCTATTTTAAATTAACTCAAATATTTTCAAATACAAATTAATTATGATTCTTTTTATTATAATTTATTATAGTTATTTGCTATAGAAATTAAATATTATTGTAACTTATAGGAATTTTATAATTATTGTTATTATACTTATAGAAATTTTACAATAAAAATTTAAATAAAAAGAATAAGAATTTTCTTTATTATAAGAATTTATAATTTCCACGTTATAACATAAATCTTTAACGAATCAAATATTAATACAAAATCAATTATTTGTGGCAGGAAAAATGGTGATATCCAAAATGACAAATCGTCCTTGGTGGAGTCGAAGGTACTTCCAAAGATCCAGTCATCCAATCATCTGGAAGATGAAAAACCAATGCTACCGACGAATAGTGCATACAGCGATCCAGAAAATGGTGGAAATATTAATGGAAGCGCTGTCAAACAGGTTTTGGCAGCGGTGGTAGCACAACTTGGGACCATCAACACTGGTATGACCTTTGGTTTTTCCGCCATTGCTCTCCCACAACTTCAAGAACCAAATAGCACCATTCCCATCGTCGAAGGTTCATCCGAAGAATCATGGATTGGTAAATTATTATTTAATTAAAAATCGTAAAATCGTGAAATATTATTCAATTCATTGCCATTAATTTCTATCAATCGTAAGAAAATTATAATGAATTATATTTTCCCTACAGCTAGTATGTCCTCTATTGGAACTCCCATCGGATGTTTGGTGTCTGGATACATGATGGATGTACTTGGAAGAAAACGATCTCTTATCATTACGGAGATTCCTGCACTGCTTGGATGGATATTAATTGCATTTGCAACCGACATTCGTATGATATACGCTGGACGATTCTTCGTGGGACTTGGATCGGGCATGGTTGGTGCTCCAGCTCGCGTCTATACAGGGGAAGTGACTCAACCTCATTTACGGGGGATGTTGACCGCTTTTTCAAGTATCGGAGTTAGCACCGGTGTTCTAATCGAATATTTATTAGGAAGCGTACTTACATGGACCGTCTGTGCAGCTATTAGTGGAATTTTACCCCTTGCCGCACTACTGTTGATGTTTCTATTTCCTGAAACGCCGTCATATCTAATATCACGTAGCAGACCTGAGAAGGCGCGAGAAGCGCTCCAACAGTTTCGCGGCAATGCGTATAACATCAATCAGGAAATGGAGACGCTCATCAATTTCTCGAATAAGAACAACCTCAAGCGATTAACAGGATTTCGCGAGATACTCAGCGCTCTTTTAAAGCCTAATGCTGTCAAACCGTTCACTCTGCTGTTTTTGTACTTTTTAATATACCAATGGTCGGGCACAAATGTCATAACTTTCTATGCCGTTGAAATTTTTAAAGATTCAGGCACAACATTGAACAAGTACTTAGCTGCGGTAATTCTCGGAATAGTTAGATTAGCATCGACCATTGTCGCTAGTGTCTTGTGTAGAAGATCTGGTCGAAGACCTCTAACGATGGTCTCTTCTGTTGGTTGTGGACTTTCTATGATAGGATTAGGCGGATATTTATGGCTGAAGAGCTACTGGACTGCGAATAATTTACCACTTATCGCAACTTGGTTCCCTGTTTTATGTATATTTTCATACACTGTAACTTGCACCCTCGGCTTTCTTGTTATTCCCTGGGTAATGATAGGCGAGGTATATCCAACGCAAGTACGTGGTATTATCGGAGGTTTAACTACAATGGCAGCCCACTCGTTTATCTTTACAGTAGTTAAAACATACCCGTTTTTAGCTAGCACACTTACTCGGCACGGTACTTTTATACTTTACGGCTGTATATCTTTATTCGGCACGATATATTTCTATCTATGTCTTCCCGAAACTAAGGGTAAAACGCTTCAAGAAATAGAAGATTACTTTTCCGGAAGGAATAACGATTTGAGAACGGGAAATATAATTAAACATAAGCCAAAGGTATTAGAAGTAAAAAAGGGTCAAATATTGCCTTGAATTACTCGTACAGTTAACATTTTAATAGACATAAATTAACGAATCTGTCTTCCACTGAACAATGACATAGACATGGCTATGCTTTATTACTACTAATCAAAGTTAATTCGTATATTATCAAAGAACAGTTTTAATTTAACCAACAGAAATTATGATATTATAAGTTCGTCTTGCAATAAGATATCGGAGCTGGCAATGTGATTAAAAGACTTCGAAAATCGATTAAGATCAATTAAATCATATAGACTCTTATTTTTATGTAAGATATTTTTAATTTCCAACAAGTATCTATTTATTAACTAATTATCTAAGTAATTTAAATAATGTATAATTTTTTTAATAAGAACATAGCAATACGATATATTTTTTGTAAGAGTTATTGACGATATGTAATTTATTTGTCGATAAAGAAAAAGGAAAGAAAGACAAAGTATACATGCTTTACAAATGTTTCATTATACACACAAAAACGAAAGGTGCTATTTATTCTTATAGTATTATAATACTTATATATATGTGATGAAAAGAACATGTAATTAACAAGTTATGTACAAGAGACATTTATAAAAAAATATGGTCTGCAGACTGCAAATAAGTTAAATGAAACATTTTTAATATATTTATTATGTAGTTTATAATTATATTCTCTATGATCCTCTATCATCCTAATGTCACAAATGCTGTTAAAAGAATGTGTTTAAAAAGTATAATGCATTTTTTAATTTTTAAATATTAAAATTTTATTTTGGAATTTCTACATAGAGAAAAAGTCAAAGTAAAACAATTACCTACTCAAGCTTTAATCACATTTAATCAAGTGTTATACGTGGTCTACGATATTTTCTTATTCGTTTTTTTATCTTCTGTTGTATAAATTTCTTAATCATTTCCACGGGCAATATTTCTCCTCTATATGATCTAGGTAATATTTCTCTATCCAGAATGGCAAGTCTTCCTTCAACATATTTTTGTGCATCAAACATGTGGGCTTGTTTAATTTGTGCAAGCAATTCCGCTTGAAATGCTTTCTCCTTTGCTATATTACGGTTTGCTCTTATCTTTGCCCACGCAAACTTCATTCTTTTGCGCAGTTTTTTTCTTTTATGTTTCTTCATTTTTCTTTTTCTAATTACTATCAAGCGTATAGCTAATTTCTCTAAAGTATTTTCTACTGGAGGAAGTTGAAAAAATGAATCTATTAATGGTAAATCCTGTTTAATAGGTTGTTTTACTAAAGGTTCTTCCACTGACGGTATATATTTTGATAATGGTATTTCATTTATATTTTTTCTAGTAGTACTTTCTGGATTTCTAAAATCTATATCGAGTGTTTTTGGCATAAATTTAATATGCACATTTAAAGGTGCTACAGTAAATGTATTTTTAGAAACATTAGAAAAATGTACAATATTACGTTCTTTTAACACATGAGAAGAACAATATCTTGCGATAATATTACCTAAAATAATAATAATGTTATTTATATTTGCATTATTGTTATTTTTATTAGGTTATGTTTTTCGTAATATAAGACTCTATATAAAAATTATACATTTTACATACTTTCTCTGCTTATTGTTATTTGTCGAAAGACTGCACACAGTCTACTAACAGCCATTATAATTCTTTTTATATATAACACATACTTTTACGTATAATATTCTAATCAAATTGTTAGAAAGTTACGTATTAAACTCAAAGCAATGACTGAATGGAAACATAACCTCATTTATGTAATTAAAAGGGAAACATGGCGATGAACAGTTTTAGAAAAAAATTAACCAATAATTATAGGAATATAGGAAACAAGAATTGACAGATTTAGATTTTATTTTTCGTTTATTGAAAATTATTAATTTATTTAAACAATATATATATCTCTTAATAAGAGATTTTATATTGGTATATAATATAAACATGTATTCAAAAGTCCATTTAGTCCATTCGCGTCTTGATAGATCTGACTGTGACTTTATCTTTTTCTCTATAATTAAAAATTGATTGATATTTTAGTATTTTAAAAAGAAATTAAAAAGACATATGGGTCAAACCAACTTACATTACATGAACAACAGCACCCCAACCAGATATTGCATCTCTATCGCATGCATTTACCAATGCCTGACTGATTGTTTCAAAAAGATCATCTGGTTCCATATCTGGTTCATAAAGTGATTCACACATTCCATACAACTGTTCACTACATGTTCCACCAACCACAAAATCATTTGATGGGCTTATACATCCTATTAAATCCATATTGCAAATAAATGGTTCATAAGTAACTGGACTTAATCCAGCAATGATAGGCTCCACAAAGTAAGGTCCAAATCTTCTTTCATATAATAAGTTTGATACCATTGACGCAAATGTTTTAGGATGTATCTTCCTATTTTCTTTTAACTCATAAAGATTTAGTCTAAATCTTAACTTTTCCATTACAGTTTGAGTATCAGTAGCAAGACCAGGCAGGCTAAGATATAAGTGAGATCCCATCTCAAAAATCTTTTGAAAATTACACGTTATTGTTTGTGCTTGTATACCAAATCTGCGATCAGCAGCTATTGCCACACAATTCTTGCCTTTCATTGCTATAATAGCTCCACCATTGTAGGCTAAAATACTCTGAAAAAATTATAAACAGACAAAATTGTGATAGTTAATATATCTTATTTTCTAATTTATTACAGTTAATATGAAATTTTTAGCCAATTACTCAAGTAAATTTCATTCATAACATAGTTAGGTTGCTTAAGCATAGTTTAGAAAACGTGCAATGTCATTAATATATTTGACAGTAACATAACCTTTTCTTCGTTTTCCATTGATTTAAAATACTTAAATATGACAATAATTAAAATTTTAAAAAACACAAAGAAATAAACTAAGAAGCTATTATTATACGAAAGATTACCATCTTGAAGAGTTTTTGGAAAGTTCACCAACAATTAAATGCTATCTCACTTTAAAATATAACTCGAAACGCAAGTTGTAAATCATGAAACATATAATGCATAGAACTTCGAGTTCCTTCTTCATTGTAAAGCTTAAATACAAATTCATATAACTTGTTAAGACGCATATTAGTACGTATTTTGTTTAAAGATCATTAATATCGTGTAATATTTGTATTTATACATATATATATAATTTTTTAGTATCACATTAATATATATATTTAAAAAATGTGCGAAAAAATTAGTATTATTTCAGATTGCTGATCGCTCGGAAGTTTAATAATTTTTATATAATTTCTCTATTATATTAAACATATTTGGAAAATATTTTTAATATGAAGAAAAGGATCAGTTTAGTCAGACAAAGTGGAATATATTGTTTATTTGTATAAAAGCGATATGTCGTACTATTTATTGAGAGTAGTGCCTCTAGGTAGTATATTCCATAATCCCCTCCAAGATCTCAGAAAGTCAAGAGCAAAGGGGAAAAACATGGCTCTGCAATGTTGTTAAGAAATTCGAAGCAGTTCAATGTTTCGCATTTAATTCGTTGTCTATTGTAGAGAAGAAAGTTTATATTTTTTGTGGGTTCAAAATCTTTTTTTAAGTAAACGTTCTGTAAAAGTGATAACCAAAATTAAAACGGAAGGTGGAATACGAACGAGAGCAAGAGCGAGAGAGCGAAAGAACGAGAACGAGAGAGAGAGGGAGAGAGAGAGAGAGAGAGAGAAAATGTGTTCGATCAAGACGAGTCATTGTAAATGTCATGAATTTTTCAACTGGGAATGATTTACGAATTAACGAAAAGAGGAATTTTCGTAGGATTTATCTTGATAGGAATTAATATCAATCGGCAATTATATCTTGAAGAATACAGATCGCTCTTTCTACAAGTTTTTGGTTAGTGCTTTCAATCAAAACCATCTGGATATAACTAGTCAGCTGTAGCTTGTAACACACGTTTACACGTGCATTTTGCAATTTGTTTGATGATTATTTGAACGTATCACTTGAACTCAATTATAATAAAGTCTAATAAGATACAATTGCAACACAAAATGATTGTTTTTAGCTCGCATATAACGACAATATACGATCGGATTGTATCTTTCGATACAAATGTACAGGCGCTATTTTGAGTGCTGATCAACTCGATCTACTTCTTCTAAAGAAGTATTCCAAGAAATAATTTGTGGGTTGTGTCCATCGCGTCAAAAACGATCTGAATAAAAAGAAATTTAGGATGGCCATGAAATGAAAATGCGTCCGCGATGTATTTTACTTTTATGTTATTTTTAAACCAGTGATATACAAAACACTTGGACTAAATCTTATAGTTTCAATCTTTGTCTATAGTTCAAAAATTATTCTTGGAATATATTTTAGGTGCTTGACTTTAATATTCTTTAATTCCATGTCTTTTAACATCTACTTAATTACTATTTAAATTTTTTTGTATCTTTTTCCTGTCATTGCTGGAAGATTCTAATAAAAACACTGTTTTTTTTTTTGTAGGTTTAGAAATTTGATAATTATATTATAGAATTTATATATTTAAATCTTTGGTGTTGTAAGTCTGTGGCATTTCTGTTGATCGTGTAAAAGAATGTCACTAAAGCCTAAACGAGTTGACTTTACTCAGACATGGGAAGCATTACAAGAAACTGTAAAGTGTGTAATAACATTATCATATGTTCCACGTGCAACATGGTATGATAGATTCAGGTACTTTGTGTTATCTTCTGATTATTTTTAGAATAACTGAAGACTGCATATCTTGATTTTGTGTATATGTATTGTGTATTTTGTTTCAGTGATGTGTATTCATTATGTGTGGCATATCCAGAACCACTTGCTGATCAATTGTATTGTGAGACAAAAAGGTTTTTAGACAATCATGTCTTCCAGTTGTTAACAAAAGTTCGTGCTCAAGGTGAATCTAGTTTGCTGCAGGCATATCATCAAGCCTGGACAGAATATTCACAGGGCATTAACTATTTGCATCGCTTGTACTTATATTTGAATCAACAACATATTAAAAAGCAAAAGCTTTCGGAGGCAGAACTGATTTATGGCATGTCTTCCGCTACAGTTGTTGATTGCCAAGAGCAAATGGAAATAGGAGAGTTAGGTTTAGATATCTGGAAAACAAGAATGATTACACCATTAAGAAAACAACTTGTCTCTTTATTGTTAGAAAATATTCATGCGGATAGAGTTGGCACATCTCCCACAGCAAGTACAGAAGTTATTTGTGGTGTAATACAGAGTTTTGTTCGAGTTGAAGAATATAAAATGAAGGGACAAGTAGATGTAATAATCTTTATTACGTTATTTTTTTAGTGTAAGTATGCTTCTTGCAAAATTTGTTATATATTATGTTCTGTCTTAGATGTATCAAGAAATTTTTGAAACACCTTTCCTTGAGGCTAGTGGAGACTTTTATATGAGGGAAGCAGCCGAATTGTTTCAACAATCGGATGTCACGCATTACATGGAAAGAGTGACGTGGCGACTTATTCAGGAGGAACTGCGTGCCCATAAGTTTCTTCATGCAAGCTCTGTGCCTAAAGTACATTTTATATATTATATTTAAATTATATTTTTATGTTATATTTAAATATTTAATATATTATGTGCTAAATTAAAACGTTCGATCGTTTAATAGTAATGCATTGTAGGTGAGACAATGCTGTGAAGAAAAAATGATAGCTACGCATGTAGCGTGGCTACATTCAGAAGGAAAAAATATGATAGATAATGAACGTAAAAGGGATTTAAGCCTTTTGTATCCATTATTGAGGCCGTTACCGTCAGGTTTGGCAGCTCTTGTACAAAAATTTACGCAGCACATTACTCAGCAAGGATTACAGGCAATTGGGTCTTTACAGGGAGAAAATGTAAGGAACATGAGATGACAATAAATATAATTTTATTTTACGCGAAATTGTTTTATTATTTAATACTTGCATAATGTAGATACATACGCAATTCGTGGAAACCATGCTGGAGGTGCATCGTAAATATTCGGAATTGATTAAAGATGTGTTCAGAGGCGATCAAGCTTTCGTAACTGCTCTCGATAAAGCATGTTCAGTGGTCGTGAATCATAGGCCTGTTCCACGGCAGCCAGCTAGAGCGCCTGAATTAGTAAGTACTTTAAGTAATGGTATTTCAATACAATTTGTTCAGATTTGTTTAATTAGTATTATTTCAATTTAGCTTGCTAAATATTGTGATTCCCTGTTAAAAAAATCTGCCAAGGCTGCGTCAGAAGGAGAAGTAGAAGAAAAATTAGCACATTGTATTACTGTGTTCAAATACGTTGATGATAAGGATGTTTTCCAGAAGTTTTATGCACGAATGTTGGCGAAGAGATTAATACACCAGCAATCGCAGTCGATGGATGCCGAAGAATCCATGATTGACCGTTTAAAACAAGCTTGTGGCTATGAATTCACGAATAAGTTACATCGAATGTTCACCGACATGTCAGTTTCAGCAGATTTAAACGCCAAGTTTACAACGAGCTTACGAGAAGGTGATAGAGAAAATCAATTAGGCATAGGTTTTGTGGTATATGTGCTACAAGCAGGAGCTTGGCCATTAGGTTTACCACCATCTTCAGGACCTTTCGATATTCCTCAACAATTAGAAAAATCTATACAAGCGTTCGAAACTTTCTATCATGCGCAATTTAATGGGCGAAAACTTACTTGGTTGCATCATCTTTGTCAAGGTGAACTCAAGTTTAATTACTTAAAAAAACCCTATTTGGTCACTGTACAGACTTACCAAATGGCACTGTTGCTTCTTTTCGAGCATTGTGATTCGATACAATGTAGAGAAGCCGCCGCATCATTACGCTTATCACACGATCAATTAGTTAAACATGCAACTAGTTTGGTTGATTGTAAAATTTTAAAAAAGTCAACGGACGGAGAATTAGAAGAAGATACAATTTTGTCGCTCAATTTCGATTATTATAACAAAAGAACGAAATTTCGTATAACTGGTACACTACAACGGGATGTACCGCACGAATGTCACGATGTTGAAACTACACATCGGAGTGTCGACGATGACAGAAAATTGTACCTGCAAGCAGCTATAGTTCGTATTATGAAGAGTCGTAAGGTTTTGAGACACAATCAACTAGTACAAGAGGTGAGATTTTTTTTTTATATGAAACGTAGGAATCGTTTTTGAGTAATTGAACATAATAATTTGGTTCCAGGTACTAAGTCAATCTAAGGTTACATTTGCACCATCAATCAGCATGATCAAAAAATGTATCGAAGCTCTTATAGATAAGCAATATATCGAACGTACGCCAAATAATGCAGATGAGTATTCGTACGTCGCATGATTTTATCGTACCATCTGACACAATCATTAATTTATTTTATTCAGGGTGCTTTGTGATCATTCATAACACGATAGTTTTTGCTAACATTTCAATAAAACGATTAACTATATTAAATTTTATTTGAGTAAGTTTATCAAACTTGTTTTTGTGGAAACAAAAGATATCTTTCATTTAAACCTGAATCTTACTTGAAAGATCAAATAAAGCATCCTGAACTGCTTTATTGCCCCTAAATCAATCGATTAATAACTTAGTTGATTCAATGACTTGTAATATATGTGCACGGAATAAAGATGATGTTACTATTTTATGCTGGGACAATTTCATTGGTTTCCCAAGAGTAAAAATTTACTCGTTTCACTACACGTTTTCAGATTCATTGAATCTATACGAAGAATAAATCAATATATTTTTACAAAATCTATATGTAACAGTATTCCAAGCATATTTGAATTCTATATTTTGAATTCTACTTTTTATCTTGTTTATAATAAGTCTCTGGTCCCGTACGTACCAGTTAAAACTGGTAGTAATATGTATAACACTTTTGATAGCCATATATTGCACGATACATAGATTTAAGTGACATTGCAAAAAATTGTTTGCATCAGACATTCTCTGTTCTTTAAAAATGTTACGTAATATAAGGAATTAATGAGTTCCACTACAGCATAGATCTAGGTTGATACTATTAGGAACGTGGAGTTTTTAATTGCAACAGTTCTGGATCCAGCAAAGGATTGTCATCCGTTTCTGATTCTAATGGCTTATTCATGCTGTTAACCACAAGAGGTGATGCAGTATTGCTATAAGGCGAAAAGCCTGCCCATTCCATGCCAAGGTATATAGGCGGTGGACTGCCCAATGGTGGTTCCAGTAATAAATGATCTGATTGTTGCTGCTGTTGCTGCTGTTGTTGCACTTCTTGACATTCAGAAGGTGGTAAATGCGAAGTCAAGTGAGTAGTTACTTTACATTGTTTCTCTTGTTTTCGCCATTTTGCTCTTCTGTTTTGAAACCATACCTATGAACAAATTTTTGGCTCTAGTAATTACTATCAGTGACGCATTTTCCGAGGTAATAGAACGCAGAGCCATTACCTGCACCCTGGCTTCCGTCAATTGGATACGTAGAGCAAGTTCTTCCCTAAAAAATACATCAGGATAATGTGTTTTCTGAAACGCTCTTTCTAATTCCTCCAATTGAAAATTGGTGAACGTGGTGCGGTATCTCCGCTGCTTTCTTTTTCCAACTCCAGTCGATTGCCTGTCTTCGCTTCCCGGACTTGGTGAAAAGTCGTACGCTGCAACAGTTTATTGCTCTTCTCAACATTCATTGTCAGATACTCGGCAGACTTTGTGCAAGATTGTTTCGTTTTAAAGCAAAGCACAGTCGTTGCGAAACATTGCGGATATTAATGAATTGATACATGATTCGCACAACGTTCTATCGCTACACTTAATCACGCGGCGTAAAATGGTTCATAACTGTTAAACTGATTACCACTAACTCTATTTAAAACAAGGGCTGCCGATTCGCTTAATGCATTTAGCAATAATTTAATTGAGGACTGCCCCAACTTACGAGCCGACAGGTAGAGAGTGGCAGTTAATTAAATCAGGTCTGGGGTGGCAGGGTGCACTTACAGAATTTTGTAGGAAAGCAAACTGAAGAAGATTGAGCGCCTATCAGACCAGCCAGAGCAGTCGACTGTAGATCTCCTCCGGGGTTGATCTCGTCTGGTGCCGCAGTGGAAGCCACGATCGCCCCAGTGGATACTAGAGGATCACGCGGTGCACCCACCAAAAATAGTTGCCTGCTATTCTCGTTTCCACTTTCGTCTTCTTCCTTTAAATCCATTGCAATATTTGGCTTCCGTCGTTTAATTAATTAGTCGCAAAATAGACGAGACAGACGGTACACTGAATGAAAGATAGGGCTAATGGTAATTGAATCACTACCAGGTTGAGAAGTTCGTGTGGGTACCACAGCGACTCCGCAACTCTGCTATTTCTTTTCTCTTTTCCTCCTTTTTTTCCTTACACCTGTACGACGTAGATAGGGTAGGGGATCGAGTATATTCAACATGAACTCCCTCAAGAGGGGTAGTGAAGCCTCAAAAATGTATTGCTTATACACCGCGAATCAATAGCATGAGTGTACAGTAGAAAAACGGTATATTTAACTTTCCCCATATGTTTATTAACACATTTCGGAGAGATTAATATTCACGCGATCGCCAATCGTGTTATCACCGATCTTTCGGTATTAATCGTAAGAGGCGTTAAATGGAATCTTTGTCACGTTTTTGCAATCGTTTTACAAAAATACAATTTCAATAATTCAATAGTTACATACTTGTTGCATTAAATTTGTTTTTCTTTAATATTCTGAAAATATTTAATTGTAATTTTTATTTTATTTTACGAAAAGGAATAAGGAAAGATCAGAATATATTGTTCAAAACATAAAACTTTTATACATCTTCTTTATTAGAACAGTGTAGTGTATTACAATATGTACAAAATTTGCTACATCCATTCATATTTAAATAAAAATGTACTGTGCCTTAAAAGTGCACATTTCATATTTGAAGCACTACCATGGTAACTTCTTATTAGCTTGTATAAAACTGAAATAGTGCTATTTATGTTTTACTCATGAAAATGTGAGAAAATATATTTAGCACAGTGCGTATCACAGTAGGTGCATGAAGTAAAATGTTCAATATGAACTTTGTTTAAAATTATTATCATTTTTAGTATTCCTCCTCATGTGTGCATGTCAAAACACATTAGTTGGACCCATGTATCGTTATTAGAATCAATATTCAGACATAAAAAAGACGAACTTTGCTGGTAGAGACTAATAGATCGTCGTCGAAAAATTTCGTTTCTATCACAACATTCCCACTGTACATAGATAAGAAAGATTTAATTACAAATAATGTTAAAATAAAAAATTACAAAATCACAATGTGATGTTATATACTCACTTCAACACATTAGCAGGCATCATTTGGCTTTCTGGAGCAGCTTGGATTAAACTTTGCCACGTGTTAGTGCTGTTAGGTATGACAAATCCAAATTCAAAGAACCATTCTTCCAGGCATCTACCTTTAAACAATACTTTCTGCTCTAACCTAAACCTTTCCATTGGTTCTGCGGAACTAAAATTAATTTCTCGTGATACTGCACGACATTTTAGAATTTTTTTGGGTACTCTTGCCTCGTGTTCGACGTCAGGTACAGACCTTTGCAAAAAAGATTCTATTGTTAATACACAAAGATCTTATCATTTGTCAGAGATTGTATAGGTTATGAAACACTTACAAATCTTCGTTGCCTTGCCACAGTATTTTACCACTATCGGCATCTCGTAAATTCATCCAATTTCTATAATAAATAACAGTTAAGGAACACACTACTGCGTGCAAATCCTATAAAATAGGTAAGATAAACATTATCGTAGTTGACTTTAACCTAGAAAACTTTAACCTGCCATGCGATTTGTTTGCAACAGGTATATAATTTTGTTATACGAGAAAAAGGATACACCTGAAAGCCTTTAAGTATATCTTCGCTCCGAGAAGGCATAATTAATCACAAACAAAGCTAATTAGTCGTACTTCGCGTCTATGTAAATACACTGTCCATTCAGGCGTTATTGATTCCTTACACTATTAATTTGTAAACAGAAAGTAGCCACTGGTCATGTCGGCTAATTTCAGACTTCATTTACAGTATTTACAATTAAAGGTGAGTTAATAAAAATTACTGTTAATAAAAAGTAGGTAGTATTTGTGATATATAGTAGATTAAGAAAATAAATACGATAGATGTAAAGATGTAGCAGATGTAGATGTAGATTGCACATTATATTTTATAACACATTCCAATTTATGATTTAACATATGAATATCTATGAATTTACAGATGCTGTTACATTATTAACTTAAAATTTGAAAATTGTTAAATATATAGATCTTTCTCAAATGCAAGAGATTAAAAGGCATCCTATAACTTCTACCAAAAATGTATCCCATAAGTTGAAAAAAAGACAAAAATGATATTTTACAGAACCGACGAAATTATAAATATATCTTTGAATAGATGTTATTTATTTAATGATTCGTATTATATTTTGTATTATATTCGTATCATATATTATTTATTTAATAATTACGTATTATATTTTATATCAGATTATATTAAACGAACAATTAATTATTATTGCATATATTGTCATTGTTGTTTTGTCTAATTTCATGTATTTCATTGCTGTCACGTCTAAAAAATAATTTGAATTAATTATAAACTATTGTAAATTTTATAGCCTTTACTAAATAAATTAATTTTTTATTGAAAATTCAAGTGTTATATTTTCTTTCAAATGTCCTCTCCTATTTTCCCAATGAAACGCTACTGTCACGTACTGATGAAATTAATTTTTATCTAATTTCTTGTCGCACATTGCGTTCTTTGTTTATGAAGAATCAGGCCGTTGCCATCTATCAGACTTGGCTAAAATCTCGAGAAAGTAACAGGAGTATAGAATGTGCAAGGAGGTATCTGAACTACTGTTAGACAAGAAGCGCAATACCGTGCGAAAAGGACAGATATACGTGACGTAGGCAGAAAAGGAGGGCACTGTCAACCGACAACGACAGACATATTTCTCTTTTAATCTGTTGAATATTCACTAATTACTCGATTTTCAGAAACAATGCGTGCACATTTGGGATAAAAGAATATAGAACAGACCTTGAGTAACGTTCCTTTATAGTTTTGGATACGATTTTTCGTTTAATTAATTAGTTATTAACAAATATGTCAACAAACGACTAGGCTTGCGCGATGCGTATCTGCGATTTTACATTATTGTTCAGCTTTTGGAAGATTATAGCTCGTTATTTGCTATCGTAGAAGCTTCCATAGACTCTGCTCTTTATATTCAATGCATAAACATTAATAATTAATTATATGTTAATTCAATTTATGCGAAAATTCATGGCATCGGTACTCCGTAGTAACGTAGCACGACGGATTGTTGTGCAATAATCATTAATAACTGTTAATTTAAGCAACAATTTCGAACAAAAGTGAATGTGAATATTGTCTGTAGCCTGGTTTTTCTTCCACGATTCCAAAAGTGAACAATTTCTTCCTAGAAATCGAATAATTAATGAACATTCAATGAATTAGACAGAAAAGTACATGTATCCTTGTCACGTGACGTTGCTGTTCTTTTCTATACTCGAGTGCTGCCATCTATCGGAGTGGCAAAATGTGGACCGAAAACTTGAAAATGTAACAGGAACATAGAATATAAACAGAGGTATCTCGACTACTGTTAGACAAGGAGCGCAATACCGTGGGAAAAGGATAGACACACGTGACGTAACAGAGAAGGAGGGGACTATCGAAAGACAAGGACCGACATATTTCTCCTTCTAATCTGTTGAATACTTTCTAATTACTCGATTATCAGAAACAATTCGTGCACCTTTGGGATACAAAAATACAGAACAGAGCTTGAGTAACGTTCCTTTATAGTTTTGGATACGATTTTTCGTTTAATTAATTAGTTATTAACAAATATGTCAACAAGCGTCTAGGCTTGC